CTGGCCCTCTCCATCCTGCCTTCTCCTTCCCTCTCTGCTCTCCACTCACTGGCCCTCTCCATCCTGCCTTCTCCTTCCCTCTCTGCTCTCCACTCTCCAGCCCTCTCCATCCTGCCTTCACCTTCCCTCTCTCCTCTCCACTCTCCAGCCCTCTCCCCCCTGCCTTCACCTTCCCTCTCTCCTCTCCACTCACCTGCCCTCTCCCCACCCCTCTCCCCCCTATCCCCTCGACCCTCCCTGTCCCTCCTTCCGGCCTCTCCGTTCCGGCTGTCTGCGTGGCGCCCACTACCGGCATAGCGGTCCCGGTCTCCTCCATAACGGTCCCGGTCTCCCCCATAGCGGTCCCGGTCGGAGTGCCTTTCCCTGTCTGCATAGCGATCCCGGTCGGAGTGCCGTTCTCGATCAGAATGCCGGTAGTGGCTGTCCCCGTAGCGCCCCCTGCTGTCCCCATACCGGTCTTTGGATCCCTCTCGTGGTGAGGGAGGGGAGGGAGTTGGGTAGCCCTGCGGCACATTGGCATAGCTATCAGAGACGGAACTGAGAGCCCCGGCACTGGAAAACCCTGGCATCTTGGTCCCCATACTCAGTGTTGGGGGTGACCCCATCCCTGAAGGAGGCACCATCTTCAGCTCCTCCTGACTGCTTGAGGCCTGGGCGTTGCCCGTGGGCACCGAGCTCAAGCTGCCAGCGCTGGTCCAACCCGAAGTGCTGCTTGTAGAGTTACTCAGCTTGGGAGGAAAGCCAGATGCCGCAACAAAATGGTTCTTGTACTGAGCCTATAAGAAAAGGACCTCAATAAGACAGGGCAACAGGTACAAAAACTCCTGGCATGCATATAAATGTCTTGGGTGTGAAATGCAGTGCACATGACAATGCATCTAAAAATGTATCATCTGCTGAAGCCCCCCTGTTCTGTATTTCTTTTAATTCTCTGATCATGATGGAATAGGGCTTCTGCTGTTACCTGGAAGGCTGCTTTCATTGCTGACATCCTGTCTCCCATGGCACCTGAGGAAGGTTTGTAGGCCTCATAATTACACATCACAGCACCGCCGCTGCGGTCCTGCAGAAGAATACAAAAAAAAAGTATGTCCTCCACCTCTTTTAACAATATTCTATTCTCTCGACAGGTCTGGAGACCGACGTAAAAGTGCGCGTTTCATTAACACTATCACCAGTGAGATATTTGCTGAAGCCTCCTTCAGAATTTATTTTTGGTGCAGTACCTACAGAAAAACATTATGTACTGGTCTCCCCAGAGGATGCATGCCTAGTTTCCATGCTGAAAGTTTCATCCTGGAGGCAGGGAAGCTTGTTAGAAAACTCATTTGGCATTCATATCAGAATTAATAAATGTACATAAAATCGATAGAAAAACACATAATTGCCTTATCTTGTTGTTATCTTGTCACAAATTCTACCTGAAGTATCTGGTGTCTAGTGTTATAATAAATATAAAGACCTTGAAAATTGCATGGAAATGATATACTGTAAGTGCCTGATGCAACGCATACTGTTAAGGCCTTAAATTGGACTAATAGTTTACATTTTGGATCATTTAACTATCACAACAAACCCCACAAATCTTTTTTAAAAGTTTACTGTTTGACAATGTCCTGCACTATAAGCTTTCCCCTTTACAGATCTCTCAATCTTCTTTAATCCTTAATGTATTGTGCTCACTGTCAAAAAAGGAATTATACATCAGCTGTTCTGATGTAGATCTGACCACAGTGAAGGTTTGAGGAATACATACTGTACATAACACTACACAAATGATATTACCCCCATACAGAGAAACAAAATACAACCAGTACTTAAAGGTAAAGACAGATGACTAGTATATGTAGCACAGTATGTTAACAGATGTGTTTGATTGTCAAAACAGCCAAAGAAACTGTTGACACTGCACATTGAAAGAGGACTAAATAATCAAGGCAGAAAGGTTGACTTTTGACTGAGCCTCATTTTACAATTTTGGTATTTTATATATACGGATGTTACAAGATGGCAGCACCCAAGTTTCAAAGTTAGACTGCTATACGAGTAATTCTTTACATGTGCACAATGCTCTTCACCACAAAGATCTAAAAAATCTTTATATAGGGCACCCACTCCATCCACTACAGAAAAGTAGCAACCAGACACTCTTCTGTTTTTTAAGGTCTATTCAGTTAAAAAGCAATTTTACAATGTCAAACCAACACATTACATTCTAGGAGTGGCTTTATGCAACTCCAGTGGAGCTATTGTCCATAATTATTAAAACACTTGGCTGTCCCCTTACATTTAGTAAGGTATTTTATTTAAAAAACAAACTATTTCACTGGACAAATCTCTTTCTTTTCTAGTTGAAATGCGCCACCATGTGGTCCAACAGTAGAACTTTGGATGCACTTATTTTGGGATTTGCAAAACTGGACAACTCTAATTGTGTCAGCCCAGATAGTTTTACATAAACATACCTCAAGACCTAAATCACAAACTAGTCGTGTATATTTATAAAAAGCATAAAGCATTAAGGAACAATCAACAGTTAAAAAGCTACACTTCAGTATCCAATTGTATTGAGATCAGAATGTAGTGCCTTGAACCTCAGGCTGGACACTCATGAGACGCAGTCCAGCTCGCATTTTGTTGTGTGTTCACTTGCTTGTGATCATAAGAGTGCGATATGGAGTAGGTAAGTCTTTGATTATAAGAGTTCAACAAAGTCACACACTGGAAAGAGGATCAAGTTAATAGCCTTTAGACTAGCTGGACTACTACTCCCTGCAATATCGCAAGCCACTGGGCTCACTTCACCTGAACCTCCATGAGTGGCTGAGTGAAGGGACTCACTGATGTGTCTGCTCCGAGCCCAGGCCGCTCCCGGTATCCCAGCCCTCCACCGCCGATGTTCAGCTTCTTGCCTTTCCCTCCTTTAAACCGAGACTTCCTGAACCAGGGGTTCTGTAGGCAGACACATGCTCTTGTTAAAAGGCAAAAACACAGCAGATTCTGCTAAGCTAAGACGTTACTTAACTGTAGCTCAATGCTGCTCACCTAAACACACATCAACTATTTTATTCTGAATATTTTCAAGTTTTATAATAATTATCTATTATTATAGTCTTAATATAGTGTCCCCGTCACCATACCGGGGCAGTTTTACATACATTTTCGTCCATTACTTATTTGGCTGGTATTTCTATATACACATTTGTCAGGATTTTCTGAAATAGAAACTGAAAGAGACGTACTGATACAGGGACACGTCAGACTGGGATAGACAGACGTGATAAAACAGTTGGCAACAGATTACCTCCCGATAGATGAGGAGAGAAGCCAGGCCACGTTACCTGCATAGCCAAGTCCATGAGTTCCTTCGAGACGTGTTGGTTAGCTCCCTCCAGGTTGCGCACCAGATCCCCAGCGAAGTTCACGTCCTTGGTGGTGAGCAGGGTGTAGGCCACGCCCTTCTCCCCAGCTCGGCCCGTACGGCCGATGCGGTGAGTGTGCGTGTCGATGTCCCGAGCCACGTCGTAATTCACCACGGTCTTTATAGACGGGATGTCCAGACCACGAGCTGGGAAAGCACAGTGAGATGGGTTCATTTTAAACAACCATCCTCTCGCCGTCTTGGGAAGCTATGCCGTAACTCCCCTCTTTGGAAACAGACAATTTCGGTTTTTCTTCTCACATCCTGACCTGCAGTTATGAGATGGCACTGGGGAAAATCAGGAAGAGTTCACCGACTTCTCTGACTCCCCAACTTAACAGTCACACGTTCTTTAACAGGTCACAGGCTGCACAGTCTCGTACCAGTGTTTCGGCAGTGCCTGGATGAGGGGTCTGTCCTCTGTATGCCTGAAAAGCTGCAGGGAACGCTGAGGACCAGGAGAGCTCTGCCTGAATCACCCCACTAGACCTTTGATGGCCCTCTGCCGTTTGGGGAAAACTTCCTTTTAATTAATCATTAACTCCCCCATGTCTTTTGAATTTGAGATGAATAATTATATTTTATTATGACCCTCTAATTTTAGATTCTCATTCAAGGATAAACGAGACACTACCACTCCAACTATTATCCATGCATGGGAGAAACATCAGCTTAATGTACGAGGATTGATATAGCTCACGCTTGCAACAGTTAAATGGCTCACGGGTGCCCTGATGGGTACAGGGATTACAGCTGTGATGGACCTACCTTCACTTTGAGTCTGCTCAAACAGCAGCAGCGCTAAACAAATTAACTGCTGCGGAATGCACACTGCTAATTACATACCCATTGTCTACAGCAGGGAACACTGGGGCACAGGCCCATCCACATGGAAACCTTTACCAGTCACGCCCCTTGGGAATCCACCCTCAAAGGAATAAATGAGCCCTTACCAGCCACATCAGTGGCCACCAGAACTGGCAAGCTCTTCTTCTTGAAGTCCGCGATGACCTTGTTCCTCTCGCTCTGGTCCATATCTCCGTGCAGCAGGCCGATCTTGTAGCCCTCTTGGTCGAGGTTGGTGGCCAGCTCATCAGAATTGGCTTTCTTGGTGACAAAGATAAGTACGGAGCCGGAAGAGGTGAACTCCACCAACCGGCGGGTCAGCCACCCCCACTTCTCCAGACCGCTGGGCAGCACCTCCACCAGCTGGGTAATGTCCTCATTGGCCTGCACAACAATACAACTTGGTCAGGAAGGCAGGAGAAAAAGGCCACTGAGATGAGACTTTCTAAAACCCATAAAACCTACCGGACTTTGTCCAGAACCAGGAGTTCTGGCCTACCGCCCTAGGTTAACCGAAAATGTCCTGATTAAAAACAAGTCCATAGTAAACAGTTGACAAATTCTTTACCTCTCCGATGTCGCCTTGCACAACACGGATGGGGTCAACCAGGATATCTCGAGCAAGTTTCTCGATCTTCTTCCGGAATGTTGCACTGAACAAAAGAGCTGGGAAAGAGATCTCCCGGTATTAGGAAAAGGAAAACCATTTGCTTTTCCACCTGTGTAACTAATAACCTTCTCATACAGTGATCAAGATTCTGGAGGTGACCGACCTACATGGATGTTTAAAAAAGCAGAACCACTTTTGGGGAAAAAAACACCGGTATGCTTAAAGCTTTACATTTTTTGGAAAGCAAAACATTTTTGGTACTCTGATGATAATTAATATTTCAGAAGAAAATGAAAGATTTATCACCATAGACGTTTTGTGCTCAAATGTAATCACCAAGCATGTATTACAGATGTAATCTCAAAACCACATCCCATCAAGTCTTGTGGTGAATGGCAAGGGTGAGACTGAATGACATCAAATTTTCTCCTCTGAAATCAAAATGACTTTCAAGACTTACTCTGCCTGTCTGGACGGACGTGACCAGCAACAGATCTGACTTGGTATTCTGCCAAACACAATACAAATTGTTAGAAATGTCCATAGTCATTAGTGCTTTATATCTGGTTTACATGAGAAGACCATATTCCGAAGAACTGCAGAATGTTTTGTTATTACAATACTTCATTTGAAGCAATGAACCTCAGCTTTCAGTATTCTATGTATATTGCACATGTTTCAAAATCTGTACATCAAGATCAAACCTTTCAACACACTTAGACTAACAAGGTCTTTGAGAGTGAGCAGTAAATTTGGTGTTTAATTTTCAAATCTTCTGTTAAACATCTGACCTAAAGCGACAGACAAAGTGGCACGTACACCATAATAAAATTACTAAATTACTAAAGCTACACAGGAAGAAAATAAAATTGCTATACTCAACAAATGCTACTAATTACTATGACAAATCTCTGTGTTATTTACTTACCAAATCCCATATCAAACATACGATCTGCCTCATCAAAGACCAGATATGTGACTCTCTGCAGTGATGTGGCTTTCTTTTTCACATGGTCAATTAGACGACCCTTTAAAAGACGCAAACATTAAAAACAGTCAGGCAAAAGGTTTGTCAATAAACTCTGCTGCACGCAAAAACTATTTAAGTCCTTTCCAATGCAATCAATGTTGTCTCTGAAGTATGATGATCAATAGTAAATGAAGGACAGTCACTGTGGTCATTCATTCATGTATGATCAAAATATTCAAGCATTCGTGTTCATCAAGTGACGAACTCCCACCAACATGAAACTCATCCTGAAGTTTTTAGTGTACAATTACCTTTATAATTAACCAATTTAGACAAGACAGTTCTGGGGAAAAAATGACTAGTACTGGCAAATTAGTAAGCACTGTAATTTGTCCTCAGGTTGTGGAGTCTAGTCTCTTACCGGAGTGCACACCACAATCTCAGCCCCCTCTTGCAGAGCCTTGGCTTGCTCCCACATGCTGCCTCCACCATACACTGCCACTGAGCGCAGGTTGTAGGCCTTTCCAAAGCGCTTACACTCGGCATGGATCTGGAAGATACGGATGGTTTTACAAAGGTTGAAAAACCTCAAATTGCTCCAAAATGCACTGTTCCTGAACATAATACATATGACCTTCCAATACCCCTTTTGAATTAGTTTCTTAAGTCTAAACTAAAACTAGTTAAATGTCAAATAGGAAGGCCACCAGCTAGAACTTTTTATTTACAAAGTACTCCATGTCGTAGTTGATGCTGGCTTGCTGCACATCCTTCTCAATAAACCTCAAATTACAGGTGACACAGTATTTACTTTGTATCACGGATAAAAAATGTGTGAGAGCAAACATTTCTATAAAAGTGAGATGTTTTCAAAATTCCACTTAACTGGTTATTTTGTGCTGAAAAACAAATGACATCAGAATCACAAAGCTCAACTTTGTACTGGAGGGGACCACCATAAAAATGTTTTTTTAATCGACAAATTTAATGACAAGAAACTTATACTTTCCAGCTAAACCTTATAACAAATTACACTTTTAGCTTTTAGTCTTGTAATTCTGGGATTTTGTTTGACAATGAAAATGTAGCAGAGATGCAAGAATGTTAATATAAAATCACAGAAATCACTACATATTAAATAACTCCAGTAATATGAGGCTCATAAGGTTTCTGATAAGAAAATAATTTCGATTGGTCAGTAAACAGTGTTGAGACAATAAGTGAAGAGGGGTAGAAAAACTGTTTCAATATTACTTCAATGAAGTGCTCCAGCTCTAAAACATGGTTTTGACAAATCAATGCCTGCATTTGATTTAAGTACTTAAGTTCCAGTACTGTTGCAGACATAATTTCGAACAATTGTAACAACGGAACAATCAACTTCAGCTTTAGACATTATGAAACAACCATGACTGCAGCTGACCAAGAGTTCATGTTGGAGCAAAAGCCATAAAGTAACTTCTAAAAGAAAGTTAAACGGCGTTTAAGTTAAATGGCACAACATTAAGGTTACGAATGACAGCAGGCCGGCCTCCCCTGGCCGATTCAGAAGCGAATTGATCTGAGGATCTCCCTCAGCCGTTGCTTGAAGGAGCCAAGGTATCGGCTTCAGGCGCGTGGCCGGGCAGCATGAACCACACTCTCAAGGAAAACGCCAACCTTCACTTTTCATGCGTTCAGAAGCCACTGGTCCCCTTCACTCTCTCCCTCTCTCTCACCTGCTGGCACAGCTCCCTGGTGGGACACACGATGATGGCGATGGGCCCGTCCCCAGGCTCCAGCTCCTTCTGGTCCATAATGTGAACCAACATCGGCCAGATGAAGGCGGCCGTCTTCCCACTGCCGGTCTTGGCGATGCCAATCATATCTCTGCCACTCAGCGCTATAGGAACCCCCTGCGCATCAAACACCAGCATCAGCACCTGTCTGTTGTTTTAATGCCTTCCTATTTTAACATTTTTCAACAAAAAAAAAATAATTCCTAGAAACTCTCACATTAGCATGTGAAAAAAACACCACATGTAAAACAGTCTGACCCTTTTTTTTTTACTTACAAGACAATGACAGAACTATATCAGTTGAACTAAAGCAGACGAGGATAGTGCAGAACTCGATCTTGAAAAAACAGACAAACTGGATGAATTTATCACATAATAAATGCGATATGCCTCCAGTGACCAGGGTTACACATTGGGGAACATTTGCTCATTTTTCTATTTCCTGTAAAAACATTGCCAATGCAAGTCAGAAAACAAAAGCAATCTTGTCAAGGTTAACGGAATCGTTCTAAAACTGCCTATAACATACTTTTCTAGCCAACATTTTCCACATGTGGAAAGAACATCTGTTGAACTGCCTGGTCTGAAAACACTGCTGGTGTGAATAAACTGATTCTGCACTTCCACATTAATTTGACACCCCCCCCAAAAAAAAACCTGTGCTTAGACTATTTCAGGAACATGCAGAATAAGATTTTTTTAATGAAATGATGCTAAAATGTGTTTATGATTCACTTGTTCCTCAAAACACCAAACTGCTCTGAGGCCACAGGCCAAGCTGACACAATAACGGGTCTGCTGGTTCACATGCTGCTGTTCACCCACACAGCCAGTTACCTGACACTGGATGGGCGTGGGCTGGGTGTACTCGGACTTGCGGATCTGGTGCATCAGCTGCTCATCAAACACAAAATGGGCAAAGCTGGTACAGGGCTTGGGAGGGGCTGCGCCAGACACCTGTCAAAGCACACACATCGTTACAGTCTCCATACTCCAAATACCAGGTCTGGCAATTACTAAAAAGTCTCTTTTTACTCTCATTAAATATTTTCACTAGGGAAGATTGTAAGCCCATGCCAGAGTATCTTTTTTACAAACCTGCATAGCTGCATTAAAAAGGCTAAGCATGCAATTACAAATGTATTAAAGACAGTCCCTCATACTAGAAGAAATGAGGAGGTGACTGAACAGATTTCCACAACAGAAAAAAGCCACATGAAAGCAGAATACTTCTGTTAAGTGGTCCGTCACAAATAATAGGCTAGTATAAAAGTTTCTTACTCGCAGGTTGAGCTTCTGACGCAGTTCCACCACCTGGGTGGGAGTCAGGCTGCTTAGCTCCTCGTGCTCATTGTAGAAGTTCTTCTCAAAGGGTAGATAATCAATCTGAAGCAGAAAGGACCAGGAACTAAAAAACTTTGGAAAATCTAGGCGTACATTTATTTCTTAATGTCTATAATGAACATCTGTCAATACTAACTAAACTAATATGACTGCATGAAAATCAGTTTCAGAGGATAGGGTAGGTAATTCATTTTTAACAACCTTTATCAGAAGCCAGGGTACGGCTCGCTTATGGAAAACAGAAGCAAAAGTCTTCAGATGCTGACAAGAGGAGACTGAACAGCAAAGAAACATTTTGTAATAATTACCATAACACAAGGGTCAAAATTATTTATTAGATTATGATAAAACTAACCAGATGAATGTAAGTTTTGGAAGGTTTGATTTTTTGCAGCGTTAGCCAGGAAGAAGTTAAAACAGTGGGACTCTACGTCAATCGTTCCTTTTATGGTCTTTATGGCTCTAGTCCACCACAGACGGCAATTTTGCCACAGGTACCTCTGAGTGGTCAATGGGGGCGAGGGGCAAGATGATCTTCTTGGTGGGCGCGATGGGGTTTCCGTCACTGTCATATTCAACGTTGTCCTCTTCGTCCTCCTGGGTCACCCCCGCAGTAGGGTTCTCCGCCATGTACCGAAAGTACGCCTCCTGTGAAGAGCACAGCACAGTCACAGCACAGGAAGCTACTACAGGTAGCCTCAGAGCTACTGCCAGAGCACCTACCAGCGCACAGTGGCTTCTAAAGATGAAGTTCACTGTATGCGCTACAGTATTGCAATGCATTTTCTCCTCCTCAGAACACAGTGGTGCTTATTCAATTTAACACAAAGAAATGTGCAGTTTGCCCTTAGGACATATAAGGAACACACTAATGTTTTTTTGTTGCAGCTGGAGAAAAAAAATAATTATGTTTTTAGATCATAATTAAAAAACTAGAAGAACACCATAATAAGGGCAATTGCATCCAACTTAAACCCACACATTGCATAAACTAGCAGTGTTTATATAGTGTTCCATTTTTAATAAAATACAATTCAAAAGCTGTAAAAAGCTATAGCACAAAGTACGAAACAGTGCGTTTCCTGACTTCTGGAAACATTTGCTGCTGAGGAGATATACAGTCGGAATTACTTTAACATGGCTGAGCCATCTGAGCTGTCCCAAAAGACCTGAATTGGAATGATTTTTAAAAAATCTAAAATATTGTGGCTTGAAATTAAGCATCTGCTCACCAGGAGCAAAGTTTACTATACCACCTACCTAGTTTTCCACTGAGGAGAAATTAACCCTGGTGGTGTCATACAAGTCTTAACACCATGTGCATCAAAACCTTCCAAGTGACACATTAACAAGTCTGAGCAGGGTGTAAAGAAAACATACTTAAATCCTTCTTTAAGAAAAAGGCGTTAAGCCTTTTCCTTTTTGCAAAAGGCTACAAAACCTTGACTTCCATTTTAAATAGAGCTAGTAAACAACATGCTATAATAACACCTTGGTCACTAGAAAGTAAGTCTTCTGAGGTAATGGACAGAGAGTGGGCTCAGTGTACATACCAGAGATTTGATAATGGGTCTGTAACACACTGCCAGTCACGTTTGTTTTCCAAGGAAATAATCAACGAGCTACCAGCAACTAAACGAGCTAAATGAGCCAATGGACCCTTTCTGATGTTCATACTTATACATGCAAAGTAAAGTTTTCAAAAGAAAAGTGCACTGAGCTCTTTTGACATCGACGAGTTTTGTCCTTTTTTTAGCTGAATACGAAAAACTTGGGAGCCTGAAAGTAACACTAGATCAAAAATGAAAAAACAAACAAACAGGAGAGGTCCTTAAAGAAACCTGTCAAAGAAGGGTTCTTCTGTAGCTGATGGAAGAGGAGATGAAATTGAATAGAGATGGGAGAATCAGGAGCTTTAAAACAGATATGAAACACTTGGAGTCACACTCACTTGATCATCTTCCTCTTCAATGTCATCTCGTATACCCCTGGAAAAACAAGCGGAGAAACAAACTTCCCTGCAAACTCATCCGTCCACTCATTCCCTCCCACGAGCTCCCACCCTCGCGCTCCGCCCCCAGTCCCTGATCCCAGTGGCCATGACGGAGCCCGAGACACCGGACAGCCCGCCATCCACCTCCATCCCACGTCCCTCTGCTAGGCCACACGACTGAGCAAGCACACCCATTGCTGTGGCACCAGAAAGTCTCACTGCTTTTAAACAATGCATTTCATTTTCCAGGGCTATTGCCCTGTTATCATTCTCATTTCACATGACACTGGTGATTTCCTGTTCATGAACTAAACAGTAGCCACCACTGAGCCCCTTAGACAAGGGAAGAGGAACCTTTATGAACATGCACCATCCTATACCACATCACTGCAAAACGCAAAGACTTCAAACTTGGGCTCATGAGATACCTTTTGCTTATGTTTGCATAATGTATTTGACATTATTCTCAAATTCAATTTAGGGTAGTATGCAGATATGCATCAGGGGTTCTTAATCCCAGACATTGTTCATTCATGTCCTCTGTTTATTTTCTTTTGGACAGGTTCTTAATTGATTTCAGCTTTTAATATGTTTAAACATCTGACATCTGACATCTGCTTTCAGCTCTTAAATCATGAATGCTATTTGTAAGTAGTGTCAACCCTGTACCAATTGCAGAGGTTCAGAGTGCCCCCATTCGGGTTTGTAATCTCTAATGTAAACAACTGAACCTGGTGTTAAAGATGTTCAGAGTCTGCAGCCCTTTCACTGTTGTAAGAGTTATGTTCTAATCACAAGAACAACCTATAGAAAATAAAATGTTTGACTGAATGTTTGAATGTTAAAACGGATAATAACAAATCCCACGCTTTATAATGCTGTTCTTACATAATGTCAGTCTTTCCTTTGAAATTGTTTTTCTTTGTATAATGCCCCGTTAACTGCTAATGATAATGCCCATCTCAGATTCAGCTGAATACTGGAAGAGACCTTGTGTAATGTTAAAACATATTTCCTTATAAATATTAGATCTATTGCTCCTGAGAAATAAGTATCATGGGTTTTAGCTATCCTTTAGCACAGTTACAATAATGTTACAATTAAAAACAAATTAATAATATTTACATTCTGTTTATCTCTATAATTAGCAAGATGTATTAACTACCTCTAGCTTAGGGATTGTACTACAGAATGTGTATAAAGTAACAAGGAACAAAGACACAGGAAATAATTCACATTCTGCCAACAAAAGCACTATGTTTCTTAAAAAAGTGAAAATTGTGATCTTGTAATCTTGTTATGCAGCACATGTAGTTATATGGTTTCTAAAGCTTTAACTTTTTTATTATACTTGGTATGTATAATAAATCAAGGCACACAAATAAGAAATCCACTGCACAACAGTTTGATACATTCTGGATATACCAGCTGCAGGCACTTAAATGCAGAAATAAATGTGTCAAGATAAAATAAATGTACATTTTTTCTTTAGTGATATATGTTTGGAAAGGTGTTTTATAAATACAAATCATTATAATTGCTAATAATAATAATAACAATAACAATAATAATAATAATAATAATGAATACAAGAATCAGCAGCTCCTATGTTTTAAAATCAAGCCCCTTAATGTTAGTGTCAATGGAAGGATGTCACTGTTCAGGTTTCAGTGCAATTTTAGCAAAATGTTCCATACAGTAACAGCTCTCTCAGCTACGTAGAGGTAATTCCAGTTCTAAGAAAGCTAAAGAGCAAGTGGCAGAGATATAAAACTTACAGCTGTATACTTCTCCAGGTATTTGTTATTTTAGAAGTACCTTTCACAGCATCATTCACATCCTGACATGTTTTTAAACTTATGCTGCACATAAGATCTGTTTGCTTCTCTGCAGTAGGGATGCTGTCTGTAATTCACAATTGCTAGGGAAAGCTATTGTCTAAACTGTGATTCAATGGAAATTCCTGTTGTTGCAACTGTGATTATTCTCAGACTATCAGCATCATAAAGGGCACATGCCTTCTGCAGAAATGTAAACTGGTAACCCGAAAAAGACTGTAGTGAACATGATGGATTAATAAAATTCTATCAGGTATAAAAAACTGATACCTCCATGCATACAGTATGGCTGGCGGAAATAAACCTTTTTATGAACACATCTACTACATATACACCATTAAAATCACAGTAGAACAATTAAAAAACTCTGTGGGAAATAACCAAGCAACTAACCCGAGAAACTGTCAAGATGGAGGCAGTCTCTTCAGAGTGAAGACCAAAAACTGTCCATTCACACAGTACTTAAAAAGCCGTTATACGTGAACTGCATTCCACTAATTATCTATAAGATTGCAAATATGCATATACACAAATCTTAAATTGTCCCGTAAGGCTTTTATGTCCCCTAAAATGGAGTAAGACCACCCTTTGCGGCTCATCCTACTATCGGCAGCCTGAGCGTGCTGCAGTTCTGTAACTAATGAACGACAAAAAGAAAACTTCCAGACAAGAAGTTTAAGTGAAATTATAGTACAAGAACAAATTGACCTTAAAAACAAGATAAACAGACCTCTCTCAAAAGCAGCACTGCTACTGCAGGTGTTAATCTAATCCATGCCCTTAAATATTAAAAACAAACTCAAGACCACCATCTTTTTAAAGAAACTGTATTAAATGGTCCTGTACTTTGTCTAGCTGAATATCAATATGTTTCCAAAAACTTACTTTACACTTTTCTTTTCTTTGTCTTTCTCTTCGAGTTTCCTCATGTCTTTGGCTGCCTGGTCCTGAGAAAATAAAGATGATGACATTTAAATACCACACAGCACCAGGTCAAACTCATTGCTGCACAAGGACTACACAAAACAGAAAGAGAATTTGACTTCAAAATCCAACATTAAAAATAATCACTATTCAATTATCCTAATAACATTAAATTACCAAGGACAAGAAACCTTGTGCAGAAACTACATCATAACAAAGCGACACTGCACAGAAGATTATCTAATGCAAATCACAAAATCATCTAATATGAATGGAAAATAAGCAAAAAAAAAACTGCACCAAGTGATATGCTACATAGCCTGTTAAACAACCTCCCCCTGTAGACTGGTGAGGTCTGTGTTTGAGTGCTCACCTCGACCTCGGCCATAAAGGCATCCAAAGGGTCCTCCTCGCTGTCCGAGCCCCCTTCTCTGGACTGGAACTGCTGCCTTGTGGGGGAATTCTCGGCTGGGATGTAGGGCAGGTCCATGTTGCTGGATTCCTCTTCATCATCCTCAAAGTAGCTGGAATGCAATGATACGGGTTAGGCCAAGTCAGTCTACAACAGACCACATGTTTGGGTTTGGTGGGAGCAACAGATACTGTCCATGCAAATCAGGGATTACGGAGCAATAAGGCACAAAAGAAAAGCGACAATATTTTTTGGCTCCCCCCAATATGTGATGACATTCCATTACAATCACATAAAACATAGAAATCCAACCCTCATCTGTAAAAAAAAGGACCAGAATCATTGCTGAAGATTACATGTTTCTTACATGATTATGTATGAATTAAAAAAATAAAAATCACATTTTTATTATGTTTTCAGGCTCTTGATTTCTCAAGACACATTTCCTTTTCTAAATGAATGCATTAATGCTTTGACCAAGCTGAGCATTTCAGCTTTGATTTGGTGCACAGGTGTGCCCTCGTTGCTGCTGTTTGACAACAGTTCTAGACCCTAGGGAAATGGCAAACTGAATGGGCTTTCACTGCATCGACTTTGCTAAATGCTAAATTAATGCATTTAGGGAATATCATTACAAAGCACATACGATCACAAACATGCACACACATGCAGGGATTAAAAAATGCTGTTGTGGGTTTTCCAATTGGACTTGGAGGCTTCATAGCTGGTTAAATGCTATCAAAAGCAAAAATGACGAGAGCTCACAACCAAGGGAATGCAAGCATTCGGCATATCCTGAACATTCAGCCGCTCAAATCCGTGTCATTTTAAACCAAGTTCTGCACCCCGGAGAGACACAGAGGCTTCCAATCTCCATTCCAGTTCAGTCTCTAACGACTTAATTGGACTGACTGTTCTGCAATCTGCAGAGTTTGTCTTCCAGATGCACGCTTTCACAACCATCACATTTACAGAGCTCCTAGAACCTCTTCCCCCGGAAAATGCAAATGTGGTTTTAAAACCACCTGGAGCGGCTTCAGTCACTACGCTGGGCCCCAGGGCCAATGATGCAAAGTGGCACTTACGCATTCTCCTCGTCAAAGTTGGCCCTCTTGGATCCGATCTTGTAGAAGGCAGGCAGCTGCTGGCCTTTGCCAAACCCCGCCGCGGAGCTACCCCCACCAAACGCCGAATGGGACTGCTGCGGCAGCTTGGGCTCCTCTTTCTTGCCCGTGGCCAGGGTGAACCCCCCAAAGCCAAAGCCCCTCTTGCCCCCTGGCCCGCCCTTACTCCAGTTCATGGCTGCTGCCGTGTGCTGGGACACTGGAACACAAAAACACGAGATGCGAAATACACTTTGAGAGACGGGGGCGGGGAGCAGCATTTACAGACATCTGTCATGTTGTGTTATTTGGATGGTCTGTTTATTCAAGGTGTCTCTCATTTAATGACCTGCATTACAAGTTTACATACATATACAAAACATCTACTGAACCAGCACAGTAGCAGAAGCAGCTACAGCAAACAACTCAGCAAAATAAAAGGCCCATTATGTCCACAAGCCCTGCTACCCTGTACATGCTGTGAACCCATCATCTTCCCCCAATGAGATACAAAGCTAAACCAGTTACAGGGTTTCGTTTGTATTTGCAAGATCGCAGTACAGAGGAGGAAATCTTTTCTAAGCCTAGATCTATAAGTGATTTTTTTTTTGCAGTTCGTTACGGGATATTTATGCAAGCATGGAAAAGTGTTACTAGTAGATAAATACAGAAAACATTCCTCGACAGATAATTTAATTCGATTCTTGTTCAAAACGTTATTAAAGCAAGGCTACAGACCCCCGGGACCGGGAACAGCACTAACAAGACAACACGAAGCTTCAAGTGCGGATTTTTAACGACGTCATCTAATTCTGGTAAAAACAGGGTCACAAAGTTCAATCGACAACTTTCTCTATTTCTGCAACATGCCGACTTCTCTAGCGTAGTATGCCAACTGCCATTTTTTACATCGTCGCAAGCGACACTTAAAAACACAACATCGTATTTTCTCATCATGCAACCCTCGCACGTCGAATCACCTTGGAGTCACGTCTTCACTCAAATGATCCTAGCAGTGTGGAGATCCGATTACTAAAATAAATGCGTGGCGATGAGGTTAACGTTTAGGGAAGAAACAAAGAAAATGCTCTTTAAAAACCTGAAATTCAAAACCAATTTAAAATATCAAGACATGACTTTAGATACACGGTGAATCGACACACAGGCAATTTTAGATTTAAGATTTAAATGTGTCTTATACTTTGCAACCAGTATCTATCAAGTTTAAAACTGGTTATTTCCCCCGGGCTCCTCTATATATGCGCACTGGGTACCCGCCTCCCATTCAACGACGATCGAAAACTGAACAGATTTTGCACAAGTACAGTACAAGACTACGGAAGTAACGCTCTATTAAAGGAATAAAAACGATGCAAATGCGTTTCCGTTTCGCATCGGTCATATACAACGCATTTGCTTAACCTGAATTCGCTGAACGCATTGTTGCATTTCACTCAACGCAGGGAGCCATACCACGGCCGCTGTCCTGATTGGTAGCAACATCTAGATGTGTTTCGCCAACAACTCAGAGTATTCTGCATCGTAAACCTTTTCTCAACGATACTGAAAAGCCTCTACACGTAGTTTCCTTTAAAATCTGTCGAAATTTACCTGTTTGCGACTGAGCAAATCTTGTTTACCCCCAAAGCCCGCAATCCTTCTACACGACTGTGTCCTACGTCACGTATGCCTCAAGTACCCAGTGAAGTGTGTGCTACGTCATAACTAAGCGACGCTAGGTCGCCTGACATGCTAACAATATTAACCAATCAACACTTGGAGATTCGGTTATGATCCCGCCTTCTGCTGTTATTGACAGTCGAACTCACCTATTAGATGGTCAGTTCTCTCCTAAGACACCCTTCATGACCTATTAACGCAGTTTTTTAAGTGCCATGTTCTGCGATAAACCCAGGACTGGTCAGAAAAATCCAGATCCATACTAGGCAGGCGTTTTTTACGTTAGGTGTTACAAATTTGTGGATTTGTAAAGTAGATTGTTTTCAATTCACATTTCCAAACCTCTGCCTTCTAACAGTGTCTAAGGTGAGACGTGATTTTGAAAAATTTCTGTAAAAAGTGGGGTTTATGTTTTGCAAATCCTGAATTGCTTATTTGCCTTTTCTACACACTTATATTGTCAGTTTTTGCGTACAGCAAAGCAAAGCTCATATTGTTTTTGGAAGAGTTCAGAGAGTTTCAAATATCTAGTTGTCTTATTTACCTGCATTTGTTAGTTAAGTAACCGAAGTCTTAAAAAAAAAACAAATTGTATCAAATGATTGAATAACTGTTCCATAAGCATTCTTGATAAACACAGTCATATAGAATAAATACCTCTTTGTAAACATGTTTTCAGTATTGTCGTTAATGAAATCCTCGTAGTAATTGCCGTTGACAGATATCATTTAAACGAGAAAACCTATGGTAATGTGTCTATGGCCAGATGAGATGGGAGACTAGGTAATTTTTAATTTCCAGATTTCGAGAACGTTATCTAGTCAATCTAAGTTTAGTCACCTCTGCGCAATTACTGAACACGGTTCTGTGGAAGAAGAGCTCGCAGATGAACCGTAGTGCTCATTTCTCCTTTGCAAGTCTGGATCTGCTGGTGTTTCACCTGTTTTAAATTCATAGACTGCGCACCCTGCGTTTTTAGCAATTTGCTCTGGTGGCTGCGTCGTGTCGGGAGTGTTTTTACGCCGCGCATGTGATGCCTTCCTGGCTCTCCTAACGTTGTGTGGCGTTGGATGAGGGAGTACCTGGTTCCGTTGTTGAGCAGTCGCGGTGTGTAACTATGACATTTCATCTTAAGTTTAGCTTTCTTTTTGTAAAAGTAGAGATGCACCGTGTGGAAACGATTTCTCATTTGATCTTTAAAACGCCAAGAAAATCGGTTAATCGATTTCTTTTCCCCTTAGTTACCTTTTCTCATAGCTGGTCATTTCTGCTTCAACCTCTATGGTGCCTCCTCCGCAATGTATCTTAGGCTGTCCCGAGTACAGCCAGTGATGTGGTCAAATTGCCCATATCTCTTCTAGTGCAAGAAACCAGTGACACGAGTAGACCTGCGTCTTTACGCGAGGTGTTTTTACGCGAATTCGTGTACAGGCGGTCAGTGACGGAGAAATAAAACGATGCGGGAGATTGTGCGAATTCACATGTGGCACTGCGCGCACCTGAGCTACACCCAGGAACTCGTTACCGAGCCTGTAGCGCACCGGTGCGGCGTCACCCTCGGTATGGCTCGGAAACCTGAAAACAGGTAGGAAGGGTAAAGGCGAGTCGTGAAAAGTGCCCGATTTGGAGTTAAGAATCGAGATTTTGAACAAGTTAAGCGGTGGGGTGACGCAGACCAGTCTGACGCGTGCTCTACGGCAGAAATCAATCCTTGATTCGTGCAGTTTGAGACAGAATGCAATTCGTGAGAGCTAGGCATCTCCTGTGTTCCCTGCATTGTATTATCAAATTTTATTTGACCTCTTCGGCATGCTGTACAGTATTGTATTTGCTGTATTGCTCTATCCGTGATACCATAAACCGCATGCATGCACATACTAATGCACTTGAGATTGATTGTCCTTGTTTCAGGGCGGGGAATAGGTCTAAGGGAGGGTGTTCTGATTATACGCTCTTTGTCAGGAACCTAACTTTACCTCGTAAGACACGAGTCCACTGTATTCCTCTTGCTGCGCGTTTCTTGTACAGGGCTGCGTTTATTTACAAACAGATCTCCCCATCTGGAATTGCTGATTTTTTTTTTAGCAACTTGGCTTTACAGCTCCAACCCTTGTACTACAGTAAAACCGAGGACCAGTGGAGATAATCCTGGAAGGTCCAGCATGCTTTACAGGAATGTCTGTACTAGCTGGCATGTCGCTTACTGAGGGTTGTGTGCTAAATTGCAGTCACGGTTAGCTAATGATGCAGCCCATGCTCGTATCCCGTGGCCGGCAGAGGAATCCTACTCCGTTGGGCCCCTGAGCAAGGCCCTTAACCTCAACTGCTCCAGGGGCGCTGTACAATGGCTGACCCTGTACTCTGACCACAGGCTCTCTCCCTATCTCTTTCATCTGTGTGTCTGTGTCTCATGGAGAGCAAGCTGGGGTATGCGAAAAGACAGTTGACAGTTTCAAGATGTCAATATAAAGAATCTTAATGTAGCTCCCTGTGCAATGTGTGTGTGGACTTGGAAGGATTTGCTCAGAGCTGTGAGTCTTGCTTTGTTGTGAATTCTGGAGTCACCTGGAATTTCTGTTCCTCAGGAGTTTTTTGAATGGAGTTCAAGAGCACTTGGTAACAAGCACTCTAGGGTCCATGTCTTTTCTGGTGAGTATGGCACAGTTCTGTTTCTGAATATTTTATTTCCAAATGACCGTATGGTGAGTCTCGTTTTTCAACAAAGGGAGAAGATACAGGTCAGCTTTCTACAGGAACATCAATATGCCGTAGAAAGTCTTTCCTTCCAGGTTGAACTAAGTGGTGCCATTGGAGTCTATTGTCATTTCTCACCAGTGATGTACTATATTGTCGTGTTAAGTGCTTTTACACAATCATGTCATGTCACTAGGTGATCGTGACTGGCATTCCCCAAGTGGTGGAGCACAGTTGGCAGAGTGCCCCTGGGGTAGGCGTGTGACTGGCCAGCCAGGGCTCTCTGCTTTCTGCCAACAGGAAATGTGCAGTCACATCAAGTCAGAGGCACCCCTACTGTACCCACCAGTTGGTGTTAATTCTCCTGTCGGTGCGGGGGCGCATGTTGCCTGTGTAGTAATCAGGGGCTTACTCAGAGCAGCATGTTTGCCTTTTTTATTCGCCCGGTGCAGTGCAGGGGCTGTCACTTGAAAGAAATCTGGGATTTCAGATTGAGTAGGTAGAAAGTGGGGGGGGAATGAAAAATGTTCAACTTATCACCTCACCAAAAGCCCTTTTAGTCTTAAGAACAGAAGTTGCAATTAAAACTATAGCTTTTTCTCCCTACTTCACACACATTCAATCTGTAATGGTTTTCCCTGTGTGATTCTGTTTGTGGCTGACTGTATGCTCTTTTTTATGCATCAGCGGTGGGTGTCGGAGAAACTGAGTGTTGAGAGCTTAAGGGATTTGGAGTTATTTGGAGGTAAGTTCTCGCATGTAACCCAATAGCTTGCACATTTAAAATGAGAATTTAAAATTTGTTCAAATTCCTTTTTTTCTAATGGCTTCCAGTAAAATCACTAGTACAATATGTCAATACAGTGCAAAAGTTCTACCATATTTCAGTCAAATGTACTACCATACATTACGACTTATGATGCATCATTCTTGTAATTACTTGAGTTTTTATCATGATGAGATTTTAAACAGAGTCCGATTGCCCATTGCTCTCAATTTGAAGGTGTTTACTCTCATTCTGCAAATTAGCTGACGACGCCAGTGCCAACTACAGCAAGTTCCATTACATCAAGGTTTGAGAAAGGCTTTTCTCTCGCAGACCGCAGCTTTTTCACCCACGATAGGCTCATTGCAAACTCTTATTATTGGAAGTGAGAAGTGGACATAAAGGCTGAGCTTAAGAAATCATCATGATAAAACGTGACCAGTGGTGAAACGAACCATTATTTTCATGCCACATAATGCACGGTGCTGTGCTGTATCGTGGAGGCTTTAAATGTTAAGATTAGATGATGCCACATGCCAGGGTTTCTCATGACATTAGGATTTAATGTACAGACAAAAAACAAGAATGATAGCATTATCACCTGTGGCTACCCCCTGCTCAGAAACTCCAGATAATCATTAGGAAAGCTTGTTTTTGTATTAAATGTCAATGGTAGTTTTGAATAGTTTATAAATACTCTAAAAAGAAGTCTCTAAGGATTTCTTAAAAAACACAGCTTGTGAAATGCAGCTCTTATTTTGTATAATGTTTTTGAACTGGTGGTTATCCCATCTCAATGAAAATGTATTGAATAAGCGGAACATGCATTCAGTCCCTTACACCATTACCCTCTTCACGACCTTAAGGTAAACTGATCCATTTGGAAGGACAGGGAAAGAACTGACCTGCAGATATCTTATGAACTTGTGACGAGCATGTCTTGGTCAAGCATAAGGCATCGAATCAGACACTTGGCGTTGGTTTACCTGAGAGGCTGCAGCTCATTAGACAAGACATAGATAAGTATGCTTTGCAACAGAAGTCATATCCGGTTCATTTTCAAAAGACTTTATTGAGCTTTGAGGGTGACCACCGTTTGTGTGGTCTGCCTCTGGCCAACCTGCTGTGCTGCAGGTGTCTGATCTTAAATGGAATCTGGATTTCTGCTGTGCTACATCTAGGATGGGTGCTATGCCCTTTTCATGTCTGAAACTGTCTGTGCTTTCTCACTCTTTTGTCTGCTGTTCCTGAGATTATAATGTAAAGCAAGCAGTTCATTTATTAAAAATGGGACCCATTTTTATATTCTTGTTTTGGGTTTCTCTATCCCAGAGCAGAGCAGCTCTCAAAGGAAAGTAAGTGTTTCCGTGTTTTGTTTTGTGTGTTTGTATATCCCAGACTGTGGCTATTTGCTTTTGTGCATGGATGATTTAATTGTGAGTGTGCTTTCTGTGATGGAGCTCGTCCTACCACAACATCCCATGTGCGATTAGGGTTTCATACATGAGAGCTTGACTTCATTGATTCTGTGGTTGATGGCCTCTGTTCCAGTTAGTCGGAACTGCATTTTTTCAAGGCACGATGGTTACTTGGGGTGCATTTTCTTATATTTTCCCAGTCCCACTAGTGAGTGAGAGTATCACGTTGACTATTAAACTTTGCAACAGATTTCAGCTACTGTATGATATTTTGAAGCCGCTGAAAGTGTTGATCAATGTGTAATTGAGTAAATATTTCGCATATTTAAGAGTTAAGTGAGGTAATAGGATGTTGCAAAGGAGTGAAACCAGCATACGCAAGGTTACAAGGCCCAGGAATTGGTTAATGTCTGCTACCACGGTCTCTCATAATTGAAACTCACAGGCCCGCAGCCTTCCACGTGTGTTGATAGGCCAAGAATACCAATGCCCATTCTAAACACCCCTGACTGATGGCTCTCACGAGGTTGAGCATTGCTGTCTGTGGAATTGCACAGTGGGTTCACCATGTTGTCCACATGTGAGCTATAGGACCCAACCAGGGGTCTGCAACCCACGTCCTGGATAGCTAAAAGTCCTGCAGCCTTAAAAGTTCAGTGAGCCAAGATGTGGAAAGCATGTTATTTCCTCTTAATGAAACAAATGATTGAGTCAATTAAGTCAATCAGAGCTTAGCTGGAATGAAAATGAAAGATCATGCAGCCATCCAGGAAAAGTTACATACCCCTGGCGCAGCCTGTGTCCAGTTGCAGCCTTGGATGACCGGGCCAGTTGGGAGTCCTTATCAGAGCATGTGTTTGTTTAGCATGCTGCCTAATTGAAGAGATTTGAATTCTCTCCAACTAGGTGCGGGTATTTCATTACGTCTGCATTTTAATTGTCATTTTAGAAAGAGGAGTTTTTCAGAAAAGCTTAATAAATTTGCTATGCTTTGCAGAACATGGGAGTTGCTAGTTTTTGGCATTGTTTGTAAAGGCTGGTTTGTGTACATGAGTATCATTGCTGGCAGTTTGAGTCCTGCTCTGTGCACTCTGCTACAGCTGTGAACCCCAGCTCTGAGGTGACACGGGAAGGGTTATTTTAGAGTTAATTCTTGCTTACCACTGTTGGAATCTAGGAACCTGAAATGCATTGATTCATGCATTTTTCCTCTCCAGTCCTACATACTTATAAGTTTGATTTGGACTGAGGATGTTTGCTGATCTTGCTTTTGAGGAAATCCTAGCACATCTAGGCTTTGCAGGTCCAGGATGGTCAAGTGGCATGTACCATTTCAAAGGCACAGATTTCCATTTTTAAAAAAGTAAAATAACTGTACGTTCATGATGCGTTATGCCCTTGGGTACTGTCAATGGTGCATTCTTAAACTGTTTGTGGAGTGGTGACCTATTACTCGTTTAGCTGGGATTCCCAGGATGGGAAGATTTTATGGTATTTTGTGGTGGGTTTTAATCCTTCAGCTTGTCATTTGCACCTGTGTGCAAATGAATGTTTATTTGTCTTGACACAGTTAAAAGGAGGTGAGATTAAAGGGGGTCGAGGTCCATTTAGCTGCTGAGGGGTGTTCCAGCAAAAACCCAAAGCAGAATCTGGAGTTCTAAACAGCGAGTGAGGGTGCAAACACGTATTCATAAATCCTCTCTCCTCAACACTTCTTTTGCCATCTCTTCCAGTTATAGCTGCCAAGGAATGTAAATATGTCACAGGAGCTGCTGACTTCAAGCTGAAGGTGTTTAAATTTCAAAGTATAGCCCATAGCCTTTTCAAGGATATTTCTTAGCCAAACAATATTTTCATAGATCTGACATGCTGTCAAAAAATGAGAAAGCTTGTTTTAATTTATACAAGAGAGAGTAGGCCCAGTCTGGGGTGCACATGGAGACAATTGCATGGCCTCTATAAAACCCTGTTCTGGCCTTAGCAAGAAATTGCAGGGTTCTGAAAAATACAGCATTATACTGTACATGTACATACTGTAAGTTGTTCATTTTTTCTTTTCGTATTGAAGTCCACAGAGTATAAAATTTTAGTGGGAGCTTCCTCCTGAAGAACCATTAATACCAAACCTGTATTGAGGCTTTTCTGTTCTCTGACATCTTAGGTTGTGGGCACCGATTATCAACCAGAAAACTTTTTTGTTGTTCTTCTGGTCAGAAACCATTGTTATGTGGTACATTACATTCTTAACTCCCAAAAGAGAGCATGAGAGGGAAAAAATGTAATGAACTTCATTCTTTTTACTGCAATATGAGGGTTTGAACTGTTCGTAAAATTGACAGAAAAATTATTGGCATGCAAATTAAACAGGTACAACATTGCACGGGGAATAATGACGCTTTATTTTTCAGACCCTGACTATTTAACATTGTTTGGTTTCAATATTCTACTGTTGTTCACTAATCTGAAGTCTAGATGCATCAGTGCTGTCTACATGGGCGTTGTGGTTTTGTGTTTATGTGGCTCCCATTTAAATGTTCATAGTTCTGAAAGAAAATTTCACTTCCATTCTGAGAGCAGCTGCTGTGCGGGAATACAGCTGGACTTTTTTTAGTCTTGAAGAATGTGTTCCGATTACCAATTTAAACTAATTTAATTGTTTTTTTTTTTGTGTGCTCTTGCATATTTGAATTGTATACAAAGTAAAAAGGATGTCCTGAATTCGTTGACCTGCTTTTGGAAGATGTTGTGTGTAAATCTGTCCACCATCTTGCTATTCAAGGTGCTTTCCAGGTGACTGCACTGCAGCTACTACTTAATGAAGAAAAAATACACGTTCGTCTCCATGCAGATTTCACAGAGCTTGGATTTCCCAGTGTGCTTTGCTTGGCGAATGTTGTCTGTTGTTGGACAGATGGGTCATTCTCCAGTTGCTGAGGATCTTGCCGGGTCCACCTCGGTCTCTCAGCTTGTTCATTCATTTAGAGCTAACTCGCTTAATTGGATATGTACAATTGGATTGTAATCTGCAACTATTTCTTTAAATATTAAAGACCATAGGTTTTGAAAAACTCACAAAGCTAGTTTTTGATCTTTATATGATGGGACATCTTCATTGACTTATTTTCTTTTCCCCCCTAGGGTTGCACCAAGTAAGAAAAAATTATTTCTAGATGTGCACTTTTGGTTTAACAGGACAGCTTTTCTCTTATCTTTTTTTTTCTTAAAGTTATCAACTTTGCACTGTTAATTGGTTATTGAGAGAGTAATGCATCATTGATTTCTGCTTTACCACTTATAGTCAAGCTCTGATTGATTTGTAGCCAAATATTACACTGCTTATTTGTAAACTAACGAGTAGCCTAATTGCAGGGGGTTTTCGTGTTCATTTAGAGAAAATGATGCATACTGTAGCTGGTGCAGCTTGTAAGAGGAAAATACACCAGACAGCCTTGTCCGGCAATCACAGAACAAGAACCAGCAAATAGAAAGCAGTCCTGGCACTGATGACTCGCCATATGCAATTCTTTAAGGTCAATTTTCAAGATTGCAATTTTGATTATCTGCAGCTGTTTTTGCAAAGGCTGTCTTTATGAGGCCATAGTAGCAGAAATGTCCATGCAGAAAAGTTAACAACTGTGGCAGTGGTTCCTCTGTGACTCTCCTTTGGCTTATGTCAAGAAGCCGTTTTCTGGATGGACTTGAACTTTCAGTTTCTCTGAATACCGTTTACACAAGAACTTGAAGCGTGTGAAATCATGAATAGTTCAGTCTGCTGTGCATTGGGAATCTTGTTTCCATCTCCTTTAAATCTGTCCCCTTCCCAGGCCAATGAAGAGAGCACCGAGTCTTTAGCCTCTCTCCCACACCGGGAAGCCATGGGGAGCTTTTTGCCAGACAACTCTTCCTATGAACTGCTCACCATCATAGGCAAGTATACATTTTTGTCTTCCCCCAGGTATAGCATTTTACTTATGTTTTTGAGCACAATAACATGCCAGAAAAAAAAACGGGAGAGATGGAGCATGTAGCACTCCCAAATCAGTTCTTGGGTAACCTGCTTCATCTGAGACAGGGGAGCACGTAAATACTCACGGGTGAAGAGAGATGCTGGTCCAGTTGTAAATCCATGGTAACCAGCCCTGAGTGACAGGTGGGTTTGGGTGAGCCTGGCCACCATGACAACAAGCTTGCTCTACAGCACTCAAGTGGAGGTGAGCATGATATCTATGAACTCAATCTATGCTTGAGGAATGTGCAGCACAATTCCTTTACCTTCCCTAGCTAGAGCAGTGTCCAGATCTCACCCCTATTAAAAACTTGTGAAGAGTGCGAGTCGGTTCCTAACATCACAGCCTGAACCACAACCTTATTGTCACTGACCTTAACCTCCAGCACTGATTTGCAC